GGATAACGTGGGGAAAACGCCGGGAAAACGCCGGGAAAACACGGGGATAACGTGGGGAAAACGCCGGGAAAACGCCGGGAAAACGCCGGGAAAACACCGGGAAAACACGGGGATAACGTGGGGAAAACGCCGGGAAAACACGGGGATAACGCGGGGAGAGCACCGGGATAACACCGGGAAAGCACGGGGATAACGTGGGGAGAGCGCAGGGATAACGCCAGGATAACGCTGGGATAATGGGGCTGGGAAAACACGGGGAGAACATTGGGATAATGCCGGGATAACAGGGGGAGAGCGCCGGGATAACACCAGGAAAACACCGGGATAACACCGGGATAACCCAGGGATAACACCGGGATAACCTGGGGATAACACCGGGATAACACCGTGATAACACCGCGATAACCCGGGGATAACACCGCGATAACACTGGGATAACCTGGGGATAACCTGGGGATAACACCGGGATAACACCGGGATAACACCACGATAACACCGGGTTAACCCAGGGATAACACCGGGATAACACCTGGATAACACCAGGATCACCTGGGGATAACACCTGGATAACCCGGGGATAACACCGGGATAACACCGGGGATAACGGGGCTGGGAACAGGAACAGGGACACTGGGAACAGCGGGAACACCGAGAACTGGGAATGGGGACAGGGACTGGGAATTGGGGGGCACTGGGAGAGGGTTTGTGGGGACTGGGATGGACTGGGATGGATTGGGAATGGACTGGGATGGACTGGGATGGACTGGGAGGGACTGGGATGGATTGGGATGGACTGGGATGGACTGGGATGGACTGGGAATGGACTGGGATGGACTGGGGATGGACTGAGATGGACTGGGATGGACTGGGATGGACTGGGAATGGACTGGGATGGACTGGGATGGACTGGGAGGGACTGGGATGGACTGGGATGGACTGGGATGGACTGGGATGGACTGGGACGAGGTTTAGGAGCATTTGGAGGTGCCGGGGTGGGTGAGGTACAAAATTGTGGAGATTTGGGTTTTTCTTCCAAACATTTTCTGTTCTCTTCTGTCCCCACCTGTCTCACCTGTCTCACCTGTCCCACCTGTCCCACCTGTCTCACCTGTCTCACCTGTTCCCACCTGTCTCACCTATCCCCTCTCACCTGTCTCACCTGTCTCACCTGTCCCACCTGT